GGTCACTGTGGTGAGAGGAGAAAAAAGAGGGGCACTAGAACCCCCAAGCTAAATGTGGCTCTGCTCCTCTGGCTAACTCAAAGTGTACAACTTCCATTTGTTCGTAAGAAGCATTAAGCTTTGCATGTCATGCTAAAGGTTGCATTGATGTATCAAATTGTGCATGGGCAGGATTCAAGATCAGCCCAATTATTGGCTGGAGATGGATGCCCGAAGCCTCTGTAAGACTCAAACACCTATTTTGTCTCTTTGGCAACCTATGAAAAGGTCTACTGGAAGATGCCAAAGAGGTCCTTGTGGTTTGTATAAAGTTACATGAACTCTGCTCCGGTGCTAAACTATGGTTTGGCACGACATCTTAATGTGTTAGTCTGGTTCACAATACAAAGCCAGAGTGTAATGAATGTGTAAATGAAGGTGAAGATTCAAATCCTTCTTCCCTTGGCACGTTGCTTACTTAAAGGCTGTATTCTTACAAGGAGCATAAAATAAATACAGCTTCTTCTGTTCTTTCAATATGCTGCATACATACTGTAACATAAGACCCTCAGCTTAAAGTAAAGGAATCCTTTCCAGGCCTGGTTTGAAAAAATAAAGAAAATAAGGAAAAGCGGGTGGCTTAAAATTATTCATCCCTTGGATTTTGAGTAGCAGGCACTCCAAGGTCTCCTGATCTCTCTTTCCCGTTATGGTGAGAACTATGGTATTCCTATTTAACTGATTGTTATTTCAAAATGCGTATGTATGTGCATGCATAAAATATACAAATCTGTTCCTTTTTTTATTATGCATGCCTTCTTCTTTCCCATAAGTTTGTTTTATAAGCACTGTGATAATCTAGTTAATTTTTAAGGAGTCACAGGGCTATCTTGTTTTTCTGGGACGATATCAGTAGATTCTTCTAAACTAAGTTCTTAGGAATGCTCTGGAGAATAGCAACAATGGAACCATGATGGACACTCATATCTGCTTTAAGCTTGTTGGCGTTTCAGGTATCGCATCCAAGAACCGTTGGTCTGAAGGCTTTCTCTTTCTTCTTTTTGAACAGCCATGGGGAGGATAAAAGACTTCCTCCTCTGCTTCTGGCTCTGCAGCTCAGCCTTCTGGGGTGAGTAACACCTTTGTTTTGAAGAAACTGTTCCTTGCTCCATCTGTTGAAATATAATTGAACTCTTCTCATCGAGAAAGAGATTGCCACCATCATTTTCATCTTCTTTTAATGACTCCATAATCCCTTGTGGGGTGGAATCTAGGCAACTGAATGGAGCTAGCAGGGTGTTTTAATAGCCAGATGCCCTTCCTGTCACCAGTGTGGAGTTTTGTTCAGCAGATATGTTCTCAGTGTGCCCAGAGAGAGAAATATCTGCCTCTAGGTAGGATTGAACTCACAGCCTCCCGACTGTGAGGTGAGAGCTCCACCTGTAGGCCACTGCACCACTCCCGACAAAGAGATTGCCATGTTCCACTTATTTTAGGATGAGGAACCAGTAAGTGAAGGATGGCCAGTGGTACTCCTTGAGTTAGAAACATCAACAAAAGGCTCACTTAGTGGAAATAGTTAGGAAGAAGAAGGGACCCAAAGTTACTAACTGTGAGAAGTAGAAACTGGTTATTTATGGGGCCATTGTTCTCTTAGAGTCTTGGTGATGCAGTAGTTAGAATGCAGCATTGTAGGCAACTCTGCCCACAGCCTGGAGTTCGATCCTGACATACCGTAAGGTTGATTCAGCCTTCCACTCTTCCAAAGTCAATAAAATGAGGACCCAGATTGTTGGGGGCAATATGCAATTAATGCTTACATTGTAAACCACCCGGAGATCACTGTAAAGCACTATAGCAATAGCACTTAGACTTATATACCACTTTACAGTGCTTCACAGCCCTCTCAAAGCAGTTTACAGAGTCAGCCTATTGCCCCCAACAATCTTGGTCTTCATTTTACCCACCTCGGAAGGATGGAAGGCTGAGTCAACCTTGAGCCTGGTGAGATTCGAACTGCCAAATTGCAGGCAGTCAGCAGTCAGCAGAAGTAGCCTGCAGTTCTGCACTCTAACCACTGCGCCACCATGGCTATGGGCCAGTATATAATCCTAAATGCTATTGCTACATTCTGCTCAGCCATTAAAATCTGGATGAGTTGGTGTGCTCTAGGTACCTCTGTAAATCAGTGGCACCTTGTGGAATTACCTTCTCAGAAGCTGATTCTGCCCTGTGGAGCCACCACTCCCTCTCAAATTCCACATAGCCACAACTTTGTCGGCAGCCATAAAAAGCTCTTTCTTTTGACAGGCATAGAATAGAATAGAATAGAATAGAATAGAATAGAACAGGAATAGGAAATATGGAATGGAATGGAATGGAATGGAATAGAATAGAATAGAATAGAATAGAATAGAATAGAATAGAATAGAATAGAATAGAATTCTTTATTGGCCAACTGTGTTTGGACACACAAGAAATAGGGGTAGAACGTCATAGTTGGCCATCATGGGACGACTTATCTCTCTCTAATGTGCAACATGTATTCTTCAGCTGATCTTGTCCTTTTTATATAACAAAACCTTTTTATTTCATGTTTTAATCCGATTGGGTGGGCAAGTGAATAAATTACATTAAGTAATCCTCAAATTACAACCGCAGTTGGGTCCAAACTTCCACTGCAAAGCAAGGCAGTTGCTAAGGGAGTTTTTTGTCCCATTTTATGACCTTTCTTGCCATAGTTGCTAAGTGAATCATGTGGTCGTTAAACAAATCTGGCTTCCCCCCCATTGACTTGCTTGCTGGAATCACAAATGGCGATCACCTCCACCTGGTCACAAATACATGCCAGTTGCCGAGTGTCCGGATTTTGATCATATGACCACGGCTGGAACAGTCGTAAGTGCGAAAACTGGCACAAGTCACTTTTTTTCAGTGCCGTTGTAGCCTTTGAATGGTGACTAAACGGATGGTTGTAAATTGAGGACAGCTGTATATTCAGTGGTGTGGTGGTCTCTTGACTGCATGAGGTGTTGGCTGTGTCACTCACAAAATTAGGAAGCTGCCTCAGGTACCAAATTGGGATTCTGCACAAACACATCCGTTTGTTAATATTTGGTGCTGACAATTAAAATGACTAAATGTCAATGACAGAGAAAAGTCCTCTTCTCCCCTCCCCCTCCCCATCTCTCCCCTCCCCTCTGCTCTTCTCTCTTCTTCTTTCCTTTCTTCTCTTCTCTTCCCCTCCTTTCCCCTTTCTTCTCCTCTGCTCCCCTCCCCTCCCCTCACTCCTCCCTTTCCCTCTTCATCTCTCCTCTCCCCTCCCCTCTGCTCTTCTCCTCTTCTCTTCCCCTCCACTCTGCCCCCCTCTGCTCCCCTCCCCATCTCTCCTCTGCTCTTCTCCTCTTCTCTCTCCCCTTCTCTTCCCCTCCCCTCCCCTCTTCTCCCCTCCCCATTTCTCCTCTCCCCTCTGCTCTTCTCTCATCTGTTTTCCTCTCTTCCCCTCCTCTCCTCACCCCTGTCCCCTGCTCCCCTCCCCTCCCTTCTCCATCTCTCCCCTCCCCTCTGCTCTTCTTCTCTTCTCTCTTCTCTTCCCCTCCCCTCCCCTTCTCCCCATATCAAAGGAACTGGTTATGGGTGCTATACATCTTGGTTTGGGTGCGTAGTTTGGACCAATGAGTTGTTTTATGAAAGGCAAAGGGCTGGACGCTTCTGCCTTTCCTAAAATGGAAATACCTGGCAGTTAAAATTGCCCCCTTTCTCTGAGGCCCTGAGGCTACTCCTTCCTATCTGCCCTAACCGTTATGACCAGGAGGAAAAGAAAATCGAGAAGGAACTAGATCAGAGAAACTTGCTTTAAAAATGTAGGTGCTAAGTGGCATCTCTGTACTTCCCTGAGATGCCTGCAGAAAAATATTGCACGACGATGTTTTTCTGTGGTGTCTTCCCCTGGGACCTCAGGAAGAATGCCTGAGAATCATGACTGAGACTTCAAAACGGCATAAAGACTATCCACAATAGTTTCATGAAAGCCAAGATTGATGGCTTCTTCAACTAGACATTTCCCAACTTTATCCGAATTTCTGGGTTTTATTTCTATCCTCCTTTCAACCTCTGAATCCAAAAACAGTCATAATTCAGAGCATGACCTGGGAACACATAATGAAATTAGTTCGCTTGAATCCTAGATGAGCGGGATTAATAACAGGGGATGAGGGAGCAATTCCTAATTCTTTCTTTTGAGATTCTCAGTCATTCAGATCATGGTTGTCCCAAAGTAGCTCTTTCAAGAGGCAATGGGACTTTTGTTGTTTTTCTGTGAAGATGTTTTCACTTCTCATCCAAGAAGCTTCTTCAGTTCTTCAGTCAGCCATCCTTCCTTCAGAACTGGATGAGAAGCGAAATGTCTTCAAGGAAAAACAAAAGAAATTCCCTTGGGGAAAAAAAAAGCACCTCTTGTCAGCTTTGGAAGCTATAGTGACACTGGACGCTTCCATGGTGCCACATTCTTAAGCTTGGGAAAGTGGGAGGGGGGAGTTTCTTGGAGTGTATGTGGTTAGACATAATAACATTCTTCTTCTAAGCCAAGGTCATGTTATTTCTGCACCTGGGTGAGGGAAAATCTCAAGTTGGGATGAATGGTGATTGGGGCGTGTGAGGCGATGATGGGTGAAGCGGGTGGATTTGTAGTTTTTTTACCTATTGCAAGGAAGCCCGTAACTTTCAGATTTGGGATTCCCCAGATGTGCCAGTTTACTATCCAATTAAACAGAACTTTTGAGAAGATATTTTTCTCGGAGTTATTTGTTGGAGTGGAGGTTTTCTGGAATGCTGACACCTTTGGCACAATCCTTCTTTTGGAACAGAAGCTAAAATGGGATTGAAGCTGAAACTACAACAGAAGTTGGACCTTGAACAGATCCAGTGTAACCATTTCTCCCTCCCCCCATCTCTCTTTCCATCTTCCCCTCACAGCGACCTGCCTGAGCCAAAGCATAGGAAGAGAATTTATCACCGCTTACATGCAAAATTATGGCACACAGACCGCCAATTTACAGATTCAAATTACTGGTGTCTTTGACCAGACTACCGTCACTGTTTCTGTGCCGTGCAACGTTTGTGTAAAGGAATTTACGAAGACCGTTACCGTGTACAAAGGAAAGCTGCAGTCCGTTGTCCTCCCACCCTCTATCGAAATTAAAGGTAGCAAAATATTCCCCAACGTGGTGCGCATCTCTGCAGACCAAGACATCTCAGTGGTCTCTTTGAACTCCAAGCCTCTGAGTACTGAAATTGCACAACTCTTTCCTAGGAGCCTTTCAGGAACTGAGCATTATGTGGTCACCCCAACAGGAGGTCCCACTGGCTCTTTCCCGGAGTTTGCGGTCTTATCTTATGAAGGGCCTAATGTGGTGGACATCTATTTGACGGCCCAGGTGACCTTCAATGGGAAAACGTACACTGCTGGAAGTAAACTCACCGTAACACTACAGGCTTTGCAAGGAATCCAGCTGCAAGGAACAGGGGATCTTTCCGGCACCAGAATTGTCTCCCAGACCTCTGTGGTAGTCTTAGCAGGTCATACCTGTTCATGGAAATACAACAAATGTAACCATGTATTTGAGCAGCTCCAACCAGTGAAGGCATGGGGGAAGAACTACATAGTCCCACCAATACCTTGGCAGGCGAAGAGTGACATCGTCTTTATTTCAGCCTCCCAAACCACAGCCATACAATACCAAATGGGTGCCCAAAAGCAGGCAGTAATCCTGAATGGTGGGCAAGTCCTGCCAATCAACATGTTGTCTAAAACAGCGTTATTCGTGCAAGCCGATGTGCCCTTTCAAGTACTTTTCTACAGCACAGGCGCTGCTTACCAAAACCTTTTGTACGACACTTTTTTGATAGGGATTCCAGATACCAGCATGTACAGCCAGACGTATAGTGTGATTGGCCAGGCTAATTTTCAGAACTTTGCCATTTTGGTGGTGGAGACTCAGCAGATCAATGGGCTGCTAGTAGGAGGCCGGCCCCTACCTATGTTGCAATGGACTCCGATTCCTGGCACAGTTTTCTCTTGGGCCTTGTATCAGTTGCAGGTGGCACTTGTCCCCTACAGAGTGGAACATCCAAATTCACCATTTGGCCTTCTCATTTTCGGTGTGACCAGCCAGAACAGCTACGGGACTGTTGGCTCTAGTATGCAAGGTGAGTAGAATGTCTTCTGACTTATAAGTTTATGGAGGGGTGGAATGGGAAGATATTTGGAATATTTAAGAGCTGTGGTGGCGCAGTGGTTAGAATGCAGTACTGCAGGCTACTTCTGCTGACTGCCAGCTGCCTGCAATTTGGCAGTTCGAATCTCCCCAGGCTTAGGGTTGACTCAGCCTTCCATCCTTCTGAGGTGGGTAAAATGAAGACCCAGATTGTTGGGGGCAATGTGCTGATTCTGTAAACCGCTTAGAGAGGGCTGTAACTTTCAAAGCCCAGAGTCAGGTCTGAACGCCACTGAAAATAGAATGACATTCTGCATTGAATCTGATTCCTCCATTGACATAGGACTAATGATTAAAATTGCATATCTGGTCCTTAGGTCCTCTCACCTGCAGCCATGTCCTGTGTCAAAAGGGCCTTGAATGCAAGATGATCAATGGTGCACCGCTCTGTGTGCCAACTTCGAACGGTACCTGCTGGATCTGGGGCGACCCTCACTACAATACATTTGATAAGCGCAAGTACGATTTCCAAGGGACCTGCACCTACACAATTGCCAAGACGTGCGGCAATAACTTCGGACTCCCGTCTTTCCACATCTATGCTAAGAATGGAAACAGAGGGAGTAAACGTGTCTCCTATGTCGAGATGGTGACCATTGAGGTTTATGGATACATGATCACAATCACCAGATCAGAAAATAGTTTTGTGAAGGTAAGAGGTGATTCAGAATTGATCTCAGCTGCATTGAGAATTGGCTCCCAACACCACTGAGATCAGCATTTCACCTTAACCATTTTAAGATGGGTGGACTTCAACTCCCAGAATACCCCTGCTTCAGCAAGGAAAACCAAATGTACCTGTATAGAGTAGGTGACTCAACAGCAGTAACTGTGAAAGGGATCTAGGAGTCCTAGTGGACAACTACTTAAGAATGAGCCAGCAGGGTGCTGCAGCTGCCAAAAAAAACCCAATACAGTCCTAGGTTGCATCAACAGAAGGATAACATCAAGGTCATGTGAAGTGTTAATAGTGCTTTATACTGCTTTGGTAAGCCCACACTTCTAATACAGTGTTCAGTTTTGGTCACCACGATACAAAAAAGATGTTAAGACTCTAGAAAGGGTGCAGAGAAGAGTTACAAAGATGATTAGGCAACTCTGTTATTCTATTTTATTCTATCTCCAAGATCCCTTCCAACTCTTATAGTCTGTATTCTCCGAGTCCACATATCTTTAAAATGGCTAAGGTTGGGAAACACTGGTTTAGATGGCCTTTCTCCACCCATTTAAATTTGTAAAATGATTGTAGTGATATTTATTTTTATTTATTTTTTGTCAAGCATGCATTTGATAATATATATATAAGTATAAACATGATTAAGAGTACATGAAATGGGTACGAATAAAAGGGATCATTAGGACAGGGGCGGTAGGCACGTAGTTGCGCTTATGCACGCCCCCTACAGGCCTCTTAGGAAAGGGGTGAGGTCAACAGTAGACAGTCTAAGGTTAAAGTTTTGGGGGTTTGGGGAAGAAACCGCAGAGTCAGGTAGAGTATTCCAGACATTGACCTCCTTCTGTTGCTGAAGTCGTATTTCCTGCGATCAAGTTTTGTGCGGAAATGCTATACTTATTTGTACCGTTCTTCAAAAATCAGAACATGAACATTTTGTCAGCTAACATAAAATCTAGAGATGGAGTGAAAGGCAGCTGCCGGGTTAAGGTGGTGTTCTGACCCAAACCCTTTTCCAATAAAACAAACACGAATCAAAGGGAACAGAAACCTTTTAATGATTCTTAAAAATCCCCGGTTAAAAGGCTGCTGCAAACTAATTAACTTTGATAAGCACAAGCCTCGCCAAAACTGTGCGAGACTGCCAAGAATCATAGATAAGAAATATTTCACAACACAAGAGTCTTCAAATACCAACTTAACATAGTGCAATGTCCTCAAGGGTGGAGTTTCAAAATGTCTGCTTCCAACAAAGAACATCTGATTCACAGCTGGCTTTTATCTTCTTGAAGGAGGGGCCATTACCTTGCAGCCTTACTGCCAAGTCGCCTGTGCTGTCGCAGCTGCTTTTTCCTGCAAGCAACCCTACGTGCACGCACACTTGGCACAGGCTCCTCGGGAACCTCCTCATCGCTGCTGCCAGCCCCCATAATCTCTGAAGGCAGCAGTCCACTCCCCAATGGTCCTGGCCCCTCATCTGAGTCCTTACTCTCCTCAGCCGTCCGCACCTGCTACACCTAACTACAACAGGTGGTCCTGAGAAAAGACTACCTGATAACATTTCCAAGACTTATTTCGGGTTCATAGGAAACCTGGTGAAGGTGAATTCAAAGATAGTTTTTATTATTTGCTCTAAGCCCTTGTTAGAACAAGGACAACTGGCCTATTTTTGTAGATTTAACGTAACGGCTGCAGATGTTGGTTTAATTTTTGGAGCAGTAGTTAAGATAAGAAGCTAAAAAAAGGAAAACATAGCATCTCATTAAATATAGCAATTAAATACATACATAGAATTAACTTTAAAGGAAAAGCAGAATGAGCAAAGCAAGCAGAACAAGAATCAAAGCTCAGATTTATTTGTTTAAAATAACGTTAGGCTGATTTTCAAGGCAAAACCTCTTCCCCCCAAAAAAGAAAAAAAGCTTCTACGTTGTTGGTGGAATGCTATTTTGCATATAATGTGTCATAAAATATTCATTTAAACCTACAGCGTAGGTTTAAATTAGTCATAACAAAGCCCCTTTTTAAGTTGATTTCACACAATATGCTGCTTTAACAAAATGCAATGGCGGCATTCACAAAATTACTGAGACAGAAAAATAAATCGGAACATGGCGCAATATAGTGTCTGTTTCACACAATAGTTGGGCACCTTCAGTGTGCTAAAATATCAACTACGCAACCCTATTTTAGTTTAGAGTAGTGTGTTATGCAAACTCAGCCTACGTTTTCCTAGGATGAAGAATTTCTCATGTCCGATTGCTCAATATACTTCAGGCTTCCCTGGAAAATAATTCCTTGCTATTTTAGAGAGTAATATTCAATTGAAATTAGAACTTTTCTTAATGGGATTATTTGACAACCAATTGGAAAAGAGCCACAGAAGCTTATTTTTTATCTATGATTACTGTTATGAGATATGTTATCTGCAGAAAAGTAGAAAGATTTTTAAATATCTGCAATGGAGGAATAGATGGTGAAGATGAAAGAATTAGCAGAGATAACAAAAGTGACTAGTCCGATTAGGAAAAAAAGATTACATTTATTCGTGACTGGAAACACTTTATGGACTTTTTACCGAAAAAAGAAAAAAAATTACCTTATGATTTAAGGGGTTTGATGATTAGAAAAGGTAAACTATAGAAAGAAGGATATTATGCTGTGATCTTAAAATAGGATAAAATATAAATGAACTTGTAACTGCTGTGAAGATCAAAAGCGACTTCTTTGCATCTTATTTCTCTGTTTTCTTTTCTATTCATCACTTTCCTTTTACTTGTCTTTACTTCCTTTTTATTAAAATTTTGATATTTTAAAATTATTTATGAAAAGTTAAACACAAATATAAAACTCAGATTCTTAAATCCCCTTCTTATTAGTTTTATAGTCTTTTATTTATTTATTTTCTTGCCTCCAACCCTGGGTCAGGAGGACACTAAAATGATTTAATTATTGCGGTTAATGATAATATTATTGCAGTAGAAGCTGACAACTTCAGCTTCAACCCACTGGTGGGATTCAAATTTTTTTACTTTCAGTTCTGTGGGCGTGGCTTGATGGGCCTGGCTTGGTGGGCATGGCAGGGGAAGGATATTGTAAAATCTCCGTTCTCACTCCACTACAGGGGAAGGTTACTGCAAAATCCCATTCCCTCCGTACCCCACTAGCCTGCTTTCCAACTCTGTTCTCCTGTGTAGGGCAACAAAAGGAGACCCAGCCGATCATCTGGGACTCAGGAGGCAGAGAATAGATGGAGGCGGGGCTAGTCAGAGGTGGTATTTGCTGATTCTCCAAACTACTCAAAATGTCCGCTACCGGTTCTCCAGAACTGGTCAGAACCCGCTGAATACCACCTCTGCTTCAACCGCAATAACACCCAGGCAAACAATAGATACAAACTCAAAGTAAACAGCTCCAACCTTGATTGCAGAAAATACAACTTCAGCAACAGAGTGGTCAACGCCTGGAACTCACTACCTGACTCTGTTGTTACATCCTCAAACCCCCAAAACTTTAACCTTAAACTGTCTACTGTGGACCTCACTCCATTCCTAAGAGGTCTGTATGGGGGCGTGCATAAGCGCACCAGCGTGTCTACCATCCCCGTCCTACTATTTCCATTTCCATACTTCTACCTGTTTATACTTATATGTTTATACATTATGTTCATACTTATACTTGTTTTCTCATACATGCTTGACAAACAAAACAAAAAACAAGCAAACAAACAAACAAATAAATAAATGAAATATCTTGGCAATCGCTTCCTTTCCAGATGGGGATCCAGACTGCAATTGCTTCTGTTTGTCGTTGCAATTTTCCAACCTTTGCAATTGTCCTTTCTTCTAATGCAGGTAAATGGCATTCGGGCACATCTCCCCATCTACCTAAATGGTGGCTCTCTCCAGATCTTCCAAAGTGGAGGTTCTGCTGTAGTGGTCACTGAATTTCATCTCCGGATGTCTTATGACTGGAACCAACAACTACGCGTCACCATCAGCAGTACTTTTCAGGGAAGTCTCTGTGGCCTTTGCGGGAACTATAATGATGATCCTGGAGATGACTTCCAAACTCCAGCAGGAATGAAGGCCCCAGATGCCAACGCCTTTGGCAAGAGTTGGAAGGTGGATGTTGGCGACCAAGACACATGTTGGGATGATTGCCATGGGCCTTGCGTGCCTTGCCAAGCTGATCAGGCCCAGAAATACCAGTCTGAGCAATATTGTGGTTTAATAAAGTCTCCCGGTGGTCCCTTCTCTCCTTGCCATTCTAAAGTGGACCCTGACTTCTACCTTGAAGGTTGTGTTTATGATGTTTGTGCCAATGAAGGACACAGACAATCGGTATGTGATGCCCTGGAGTCTTACGCAGATGCCTGCCAGAAACATGGGGTCCAGATTGGTGAATGGAGAAAATTGGCCGGATGCTGTAAGTATGCAAGGAATTCAATAAGATGGTGTTGGAAAAAAAATATCCATCTAGTTCAGTTCCAAGCTGAGAGAAAGCCACTGGAGATAAAATGGAGGCCAGAGGCTGATTGGAAAGATGGTTTAATGAAGAAGCAGAACCACATGGGTTTGATTCTGGGAAGCTGACCACATGGAATTGAGAATGTGGGTTTTTTTTTATACCTTCTCTGAGCTTTGCACTTGAGCTTCCTGTTCCTGTGCAAGAACATACATCAAATTGGCTGTTGTAGGGGTTATGTAGGGGTCATAGCTGGCTCTATAGGTTGTCTGAGCTAAGTTGGGTTGAAGTTTGGTCTGCTCTAAGATGATGCAATGAAGGATCTTGTATTCTGAAAGGGTGTTGGACAATTCCTAATATGGCTTAATGGTTTTGTCCTGGTTTGGATCTTGAGTCAGGGCTAATTTTACCTTTGTTCAGGTCTTGCTGCAGGGAATTTTTGCCTTTGAATAGAGCTACCTAGATACTTGGCTTCTTTCAACAAGCTCTTTATCTCTTAAGTGCTGACATCTGCTGAGGGCTATTAAGAAAGTGGGGGCTGCTTTCTCCCTCTTAAAAAAGCATGTTTCTCAATTGCTTATCCAGGGAAATACAATATTCTGCGTTTTTAAATATTTCTCTATTTCATTCTTCTAGGAGAGGGGTGGGGCTACCTTTCTACAGGGGGAATGCTGACCCCCAGCCCCACCTCATTTAAAACAAGTGAGAACCGGATGCAAAAGTATGCGATTCAAAGGCACAATGTAAAATATTACCTCGGGGCTATTTGTGGTGCTTGGTTGCTGACACATGATAAAATTAAGGAGCTAATTGTGTAAACTAGCCCCAAGCTCCTCCATTATCAGTAAAAAGAACCTTGCTCCAAAAGCTGTTAGAGAGAAACTGAGAAAGTCTCTATCTGTATGCACAGGCAGTTCTCAATTTATAATAGTTCGTTTACTGACCGTTCAAAATTACAACAGCGCTGAAAAAAGGGGGATTTAGGACCATTTTTCACACTTATGACTGTTGCCGTATCCTCACGGTCATATGATCAAAATTCAGATGCTTTTCAACTGACGCATATTTATGACGGTTGCAATGTCCCAGGGATGTGTGATCCCCTTTTTGCAACCTTCTGAGAAGCAAAGTAAATGGGGAAGCCAGATTCACTTAACGACCATGTTACTGACTTAACAGATTCAGGGATTTGCCGAATTAATGTGGCAAGAAAGGTCGTAAAATTCACTTAACAACCGCCTTGCTTAGCAACAGAAATTTTGGGCTCTTGTGGCCCTAAGTTGAGGACTACCCATACCATGGGTGAAATGGTCACAAATAGGAACTATTGAGGAGCTGACATTCTTGTAAGCCCCCCCCCCCGTTGCTTTCATCTCAATAAATCTCATTAAAGAAGTTTGCTTGACAATCTTGAATGGAAAGAATTACTTTCAGTTTGAGCTGGCTTCCAAAGACCCTGTGCGTGTCTTAATTCTCCACTGGATTCCAAGCTATTCTTAAAATCCGATCAGTCAGCACTTCATGTTTATAATCATGCTCAGCTCTCACGAGCTCTCTTCCTTTTATTTCCTCCTTTTGTTCTTTTCTCAAAAGAATATGTGTACTTCCGTAAATTTATGGGCATCTTTTAGCCAGGGGACGCGCTTCGTACATAAATACTGGTATATGTAGGATTAGATTTCTATGTGTATCAACAGCCAAAGCACAAAGTCACTGTATTCCAAATCTATATATATAAAAGTGAAATACTATGCAAGAATTATCACAAAGTCTCCAGAACCATAAAGCCTACAAACTCGAAATTTGGCACGTTTGTTCCTCTTGGCTTCTAGATGCTCACTAAGAAAGTGACCATCAGAGCATTAGCATTTTGTATATTATTATTAACACGCTCTGATGCTAAGGAGTTTAGTCCCCCTCCCCACTGGAAAAGAAATCTGTTTCAAATGCAAAACACAAGCTGAGGAGAGGAGTTTCAGTTTCAGTTTTAGTTTCACAGCACCAAGCAGCTTTAGTACAGAACAGTTGAACTAAGCCACGCCCAGGCTCCTTGCTGTCTCCTTCTTGCTCACACAGCAAATACTGTTTCAGTTTCCATGTTTCAGTTTCCAAACAGCCCTCAACTCTCACACACTGACAGGATGCTAGCCAGATGAATACCAGCGGATGCTGGTAGGCAGAGGCACATTTTTCCCCCCTTATTTTCCTCCCCCAAAACTAAACCCGATCATAGTTTCATAGCGAAGCACGGGAATAGAGGTAGCAAATCATATTTCTTAAAATCTAGCTCTTCTTTTTTTCATATTAATTTGTCTATCTGTATCTCTCCTACCTTACTCAGTTTCAAATACAGCTTTAATTTACTAAAACTTGATAAATAGCTGAAAACAGATTTAGGAACATTCTAAAAACCTACATGGTATGCCCATCATTTTGATCAGGAAAACTCAATGATTTTCGCGCAGGTTGAGGATCACTTTTAATCTTTGAGTTGGGCTTGGATCTGTATTCTAAGGAAGGCACATTCTAAACTGGAGTGACAGCAATTGATTCAGGATGAATTAATGATCATTTCCCTCCTTAAAAACTTTGGAAGGAATCCTGGAAAAGGAATTAACTCTTCAGCTATGGACAGTTGCCACCCTGGCGGCCTCAAATGGTGGCATCTTTTCTAGGGAACGATGCTTGTTTTACATTGTGCCCTTGTGTGGTTGCCATTGAATTGTCGGTAAACTTGTGAAACCACCGCTCTTGCTAATGGACCAGGCAATGAATTTGCATGGAGCGGATTGGCATCTAGGGGAGCAAAAAAATGGAAACCCCCCCCCAATCAATACGAATGGATTGAGTGACAATTGATTGATATATTTAGACACATTCCAAGGCGTAAAATGTTCTGTGTTTTCAAAGAGCCGAAGTCAAAGAGTGAAGGAGACGTGGTTATCCCAAATTTACCAGCCTATTTTGCAGCTGGTCGTTTTGGGAGTGTGTTTGGTCTAATTATGGGGAATGAGGATTAATTTGATTTTTAAATGGTTTCAACAGGTGAGGATCTTATTACGGTAATGTGTTCTCTAAGGCAGCAGCCACTTATCAATCTGGGATAAATATAGTCTTGTCGCTGCCTATTAGCACATCTCTAAAGAGACGCCATTTTGCCATCTCCATTCTTGCCCTTTCAGTAGTGGAGGAAGGAAGAGCATATTGATAGCTTTTTCTTTTCTTTTCTCCACACAGTACCGGAGTGTCCTCCCAACAGTCAGTACCAGCAATGTGGAACAGCCTGCCCAGCCACCTGCCTAGATGAACAAACTCAACAGCAGCTCCTCTGCCCAGCGGTGTGCGTAGAAGGTTGTCAATGCCTACCAGGTTATGTGCTGAGCCAGGGCAAATGCATCCCTAAGTCCAGTTGTGGATGTCTGCATGAAGGCTACCTCTATGCACCCAATGAGGTTTTCTGGGCCGACGATAAGTGCACAACGAGATGTGTGTGCAACCCAGCCACGAATCGGGTTGAGTGCACCCAACAAACTTGCAAATCCTCAGAAAAATGCCTAGTTATAAAAGGGGTGAGGGACTGCTACCCTATTGACTTTGTTAGCTGCAAAATTCATGGTGATCCCCACTACTTGACCTTCGACAAGTATAAATTTGATTTCCAAGGACCCTGCGCCTACGTCCTCACTGAAGTGTGTGAAAAACCCATGGATCTGAACTGGTTTGGTGTTTATGTCCAGAATGAATATCGGGGAAACCGTGCTGTGTCCTGGACCCGGAGTGTACAAATCAACGTCCACGGCATTGAGATCATAATCAGTAGACAATATCCTGGGAAAGTCTTGGTAAGTTTGGGTAGTATCTGGTTATTACAACCTTGATCCAGGGGTGGGATTCAAAAATCCCAGCAACCGGTTCTCTGCCCGGTTGCTAGGTGGGTGCGGCCTTGGTGGGTGTGGCCTACCGGAACTTCTGGGACGGCCATTTTTTTTACCTTCCCAAGGGTTGAGAGGCATCCCCTGGGCCTCTGGGAGGCCGAAAATGGCTTCCTCCAGGATCTGGAGGCCCTCCGGAAGCCAGAAACTGGCCCATTTCCGCACTTCCGGAAGGCCCATTTTCCCCCTCCCAGAGCCTCTGCGCAGACCCTGCACTTACCTGCATGGAAAATGGACCGTGTGGAGACTCCTGGGAGGGGCGGGGCCAGCCGGTCAGTTCAAATACCAGTTCAGCAAACCAGATGAAAACTTAACATCCGGTTCGTTCGAACTGGTCAAACTGGTAGTATCCCATCCCTGCCTTGATCTCTCTTTAATGCTCCTTTTATAAACAGAGTCCTACGAAGGACTGGTGATGCCTGAGGCTTCTAAAATCAACCCAACCTGCCATTTCTATCTTTCAATCAAACCAAAAAGATAACTAGTGGATGCCATAATGACAGACTTGTATCCTGCTTCATACTGGTACCATTTTTATAGCTCTCTCTTAAGTGGTTTACATAGTCAGCATAATTGCCCCCCAACAGGGTGGGTCCTCATTTTACTGACCTCGGAAGGATGAAAGGCTGAGTCAACCTTGAGCTAGTCAGAATAGAACTCCTGGCAATGAGCAGAGTCAGCCTGCAATATTGCATTCTAACCACTGTGTTACCTGGCTGCAAATAAACTAGTGGGTTTCATTGAACACAAATAATCCAGATCTGCTGGAGCCAGGCAGTAGTTTGGCTTTGAGGACCATATAAATTGCCACATTGGGGGACCTATAGAAAGTGGTGCAGGTGTATATGTACCTCTAAAATTTACACTTATGTACAAGCATTTTATGCTTATACATACGCTGATACATTACACATCCCATCCTTCTTCTGGAGAATGACTCATTTCTGATTTCTTGTCACAATATTTTACCTGTAACACAACTGAACAGCTTCAGATAGATATGCAGCCGGTTGCTGTTCTCCTATTAATAATCTTAGAATGCCATCATTATTTTATCTGCAGGCCATTAGGAACCCTGGTGGTTAGAATGCAGTATTGCAGACTAACTCTGTCCGCAATCTGGAGTTCAATCCTGACCGGCTCAAAGTTGACTCATCCTTCCATCCTTCCCAGGTTGATAAAATTTGGACTCAGACTGTTGGCAATACGTTGACATTGTAAACGACCCAGAAAGTGCTGTAAAGCACTATGGGGTAGTACATAAATCTAAGTGCTATAATATTGCTATATATCATTTGAGTATCTAGAGAATGGAGAAGAGCATTTTGTAGGCCCCCAAGATGGATACTTGGCTTCTAAGCTATAGAAGTGTCCTTCTGTTGGTGCAGGGAGATTCCATGTCCTTTTTTTGGGAGGGGAAGGAAGGCTCCATTACCAGGCATCAGAGGCAACATATGCACGTTAAAGTACGTAGATGCACATAAAGAAATGATCCCAAAATTTCCAATCCTATGATCTCACCAAGTCTCTGCTCCAACCATTGTTGCCTTCTGCTCTTGTGGGGAGAAAAATGACAAAAATGCTATGATCTCTGGTCAAAAAAATAGACCTCTATTTCTGCTGTTATGCAGACCCTGAGAAGGATAGAAGAGATGAGAGATAGTCTTTGACATGACTGGTTTCCCCCTCCCCTCCATCATTGCTCCTTTTCATTGACTTAACGTAAGCATCCCATTTCTCCTTCATAGGTTGGCGGTATATTGACCTGCCTGCCTTATAATGCTGTTGGAAACAGAGTCAAGATATATCGGAGAGGCCCCAGTGCTGTGGTCGAAACTAATTTTGGCCTCACAGTCAGCTTTAATTGGGACCACCAACTCACAGTCACCATACCCGGCACATATAGAAATACGCTCTGTGGCCTGTGTGGGAATTTCAACAACATACCTGCGGACGATGCTCTTGTGCCCGGAGGGATCCTTGTTCCCCAAATCCCCGTGTTTGGTGCTAAAGGCACCAAGGCAGTTGACCCAAGCTGCAAACAGGTCATAGATCCCGCCTGCCCTGGAGTGGACATCTTAGCAAAACAGCAGCGGGCTTCAGGACGGGAATGTGGTCTCATCGTAGCCGTCAACGGGCCTTTCAGAGAATGCCACGGCCAGGTGGATCAAGAAGCCGCCTTCCAGGACTGCATCTATGACTCCTGTTTCCTCAAGGGACGCTACGCCTTCGTTTGCGCAGCCATCGCCAATTATGCCTTGGCCTGCCAAGCTGCTGGCATCACCATATACCCCTGGAGAACTCCAACCTTTTGCCGTGAGTCTCTCGGATGTAAACTGGGAGCTTTGACTTGGGGAAGAAAAGTCTGTTCCTAGTGGGATTGGGAAAACCACACATAGAGAAAGGAGTCAGTGTACACAAGAGAAGAAATGCTTCATGCTTAGACCAACTAATCAAGCAGTTTAGTCACCCGAAGGTTGCAATTTTACTGCAGAAGAAGTACCAAGGAGAGCTTATCTTTCCAGATGCAAGGGTTGGGCCATTGCAGGTAGTCCTCAACCTATGACTTTAATCGAGCCACAAATTTTTATAGCTAAGCGAAATAGTCGTTAAGTGCGTTTTGCCCCATTTCATCCCTTTTGTTGTTAAATGAATCACTGTGGTTGTTAAGTGAGTAATGCAGTTCTTAAGTGGACCTGGTGCTTCCCCATTGACTTTGTGTCAGGGTTCCAAGTAATACACCCATGGCAAACAGAACTCCGAGGCAGGATGGTTGCTCAAAGAAGAGTTTCATTTGGTATATCATATTGGCACAGGCTGGTGAAAACCAACTCTAAATGTTCCCGCAGTTTTCACCTAATTAAAAGTGAAAGTTTTCTCCTTTCCCCAAACAATCAGCCATATGGTCCAATCAGGGTTCCGTCTGGTTGCCTGGTAACTTCACTCCTCCTCTCTCTGGCCCCCTGTGAGAATGTCCTTGGTTCCCAGAAGAAAGTATTTTGTTTTGGCTACAAACTCCATCTACCTCTATTCCCCCCTCCCTATCCTTCAGCTCCAGCGTGGCAACACTGAAGCCTCAAAATGGCCTCAGTCAGTTCAGCTTCAGGGTTGACACTTTGCTTGTCAGAAGGTCACAAAAGTGATCACCTGACCCTGGGACGCTGCGCCCGTCATAAATACAAACCAGTTGCCAAAGTGCAAATTTGGATCACATGACCATGGGGATGCTGCAACAGTCATAAGTGTGAAAAACATTTATAAGTTTTTTTCAGTGTGGTTTTAACTTCGAATGGTCACTAAACAGACCATTGTAACTTGAGGACTACCTGTATTTTTTTTACCCTTTCTTATTCTTCTGCAAGGACTGAGTTTTAGTCCCGTGCCCCATTATCTCTCTTGCATGACTAACTTATTCCTTCTGTTCTCGTTTTTAGCTCCACGTTGTTCTGCCAACAGTCACTATGAACTTTGTGCTAAACAATGCGACCAGGCTTGTAGCAGCCTCTATTTCCCAGCTCCTTGCCCCGCCAAGTGTCAAGAGGATTGTGTCTGCAATGACAACTTTGTTCGGAGTAACGACGTGTGTGTACCGATGGCGAAGTGTGGCTGCCTCCATCAAGGGCGCTACTATCCAGTCTCCGAAGTGTTCTATCCAACTTGCCAAGAACGTTGTGTCTGCCAGGCTGGTGGCAACGTGGTGTGTGAAGTGACCCCTTGTGGTCCCAATGAAGTATGCCAGCTACAAGATGGACACCAGAAATGCTATCCCACTGGAAGTGCCACCTGTTCTCTTGTTGGAGATCTCTACCTCACTTTTGATGGGCTGCCCTTTGACTTCCAAGGCACCTGCTCTTACATCCTAAGCAAGTCGGTGTTCACCACAAAGGTTGCGAACCTGCCACCTTTTACTGTAGTGATACAGAATCAGGTCTCAGGGAACGGAAACATCGCAGTGCCCAAGGTGGTCACGGTGGAGACGTTGAACTTTGCACTTTCTCTGTTGCAAGACAAGTGGGGATATGCGCAGGTGAGTTCCTGAATCCTGCTCACTGGAGGAGGTGAGTGTGTGGAGTCGTGGCGGCGATAGCTTTCTCTCTCCGCTGGGGAAAATCGAACCCATGTAGAATAATCTTCACCGCTGGAAGCTTTCCAGAAGAGACAGGATAGCCATCTGTCAGAAATGGCAAAGGAACTCCTCCTCGAGAAGTGGGTTGGACTAGATGACCTACAAAGTCCCTTCCAACTCTGTTATTCTAAATATTAGATGTAATTACTTAGGTGACTTACAGAGTAAGTGTCCAGTGTCCCATTCTGTGCGAATGAAAGCAGAGGTGGCATTCAGGAGGTTCTGACCAGTTGTAGAGAACTGGTAGGAGAAATGTTGAGTAGTTCAAAGAACCGGCAAATCCCACCTCTGACTGGCCCTGCCCGCATCTCTTCTCTGCCTCCCAAGTCCCAGTTGATCAGCTGGGTCTTCTTTGGTTGCCCTGCACAGGAGAAAGGAGCTGGAAAGCAGGTTAGTGGGGTGGGGAGGGTATCTTTCCCGTGGAGTGGGAATGGAGATTTTACAGTATCCTTCCCCTGCCACGCCCACCAACCCCCACACACCAAGCCATGCCACGCCCATCAAGCCACGCCCACAGAACCAGTAGTTGGTTTTTTTAATCCTACCATCGAATGAAAGGTCTCAAAATGTATATGGATATTCTCCATTTTCCAGGTCATGGTAGTTCCAAAGGTGTTTTTCCAAAGGCAACTCAAATCAATTTCGCAGCCAACCAAAGCCAGCACTGACCCACAACCAACCTGCACAATGCTCCCCTCCCCCACCAACCAGCACTTCATCTCCCAATGACCCTCACCTGGCGTGACCCCCCCATTGCAGGACCCATCATCAAACCCTCTCTGTTGACCCACAGCTGACCTATTACAAGACCCATATCTGATGTGACCCTCACCTGTTGTGTCCTCACCATCACATTTATCAGATAGAGTTTCTCAATGTGATAAATTCCCAACGGTATCACAGTTGACTTTTTCTTAATTCATTTCTCTCCATCTGGGGTGGGTGGGAGGGATAAGAGAAATGGCTGGGCAGATTAAAATAGTTGCTGCAACAGAAACATGGCCTTTTGTTTAAAAAAACAACAACACCACTATATCTTCTGGACTTTTGAAGGTATTTGGGAGGTTTTCAGTGATGTATCAATCCTTCCTCCTCCTCCTCCTCCTCCTCCTCCTCCTCCTCCTCCTCCTCCCCTCCCTCCTCCTCCTCCTCTTCTTCTTCTTCTTCTTCTTCTTCTTCTTCTTCTTCTTCTTCTTC